CTCAAGGCCCTGGGCCGCGTCTACGCCGGCTGGGGCTTCAGCCAGGCGTTTTACCGGCAGAAGGTGTACGAGACGGCGCTGGGGTACAAGTCGCTCGAGGACTTTATGCTCAATTTCTGGGAGAAGTGGGCTCTGTCAAAAGGTACGCACACCTGCGCAAAGCTAAACTGACATACATTCTCTGCTTACGCTCGTCTGCAAGACCCGGAAAACCTGCTGCTCATGCTGGCGGCGTGGCAGGCGGGCGACTGCTCCGACCAGGAGCCGTACAACAAGGACTTTGAGCTGGCCATGCGGAGCATCAAGACCAGGATGCTCGTCCTGCCGGGCAGGGAGGACTTGTACTTTCCCCCGGAGGACTCCGAGTACGAGGTGCGGTGCATGTCGGAGGGGGTCGGGAAGTGTATCCCGTTTCCGTCCATCTGGGGACACTGGTAGGTGCAACGAGAAACAAGACGTGCGGTGCTGACCTTTGATGCTGACGACTGCCCAGGGCGGGCGGGCCGGGACTGAACCCCGAGGATCTCAAGTGGCTCGACAACAAGCTCAGGGTGTTTTTGGAGGATGAGGCGACTCTGATGAGCGAGGTGAGCGTGTCCAAGTGACAAGTCTATGTATTCAAGACTGGCGATATGTCTAGCGTAGCTATGGTGGTACAAAACAGCCCAACTACCAGAATGGCAATGTAAGATTCAAAATTCCCCCTATATATGTCCCCTGAAACTGGCGTCTTTGTTCATTGACAGCCATTACAACTTGAAAAAAAACATACCCTTACATGTCCCACATGTTTTTATTAGTCTAATCCACCTTTGTTTCGTTGCTCTGGCTCTTCTTCCATTGTCTCGCAAGATGAATCAGCCTCAGCCCTGCTGCGGCACTGCTCCCCTCCTCGACCTGCTTGGTCCAAAAGCTGCCAGAGCTAGCGACGAGCACCGACTTGCGACGTTCCCTCTCGGCGGGGCTGAGGTTGACACCCGCTCGTTTGTTCGCTTCGATTTCTTCGAGGTAGTGCAGCCGGCGGGCATATCTCTCGTGGCGCTCCTTGCGAATCTGCTCGGACCCGTAGCGCTCAAAGATCCATCGCGTCAACGCGCGCAGCATAAGCAGCAAGTGCTCGCTGACGAATATCGTGATGGGCAGGGTCGTCCACCCCCCCGCGCCAATGGTGTCGGTCCCGAAAAGATGAACAATGGCTGCGGTCGATATGCTTCCCAACAGGGTCAACGTTTCCAGAGCCGTCACCCAGGGGCCGATGCCGTCGGCCCGTGTCGGGGCAGGTCGCCGGTGTTCGATGCAAATTTTAGCGAAATCAGACCGAAGCTCGATCCAGTTATTTATGAGGAACCCCATGGATATCAGCGGCCACACAGGCGAGAACAAGGCCAGGTAGCCAAATTGAAGGACAAGCTCCGCAATGTCCTCTTGCACATTGTACTGAGAGCGCGTCGCCTGGTTTCGGACGCGCTTCAAATAATCGGCTTCGCCGGCATCGTCGGAGACGAGCGTCAGAAGCATAGTGTCTTTGGTGTAGGCTCGACGGTACTCGCGATACCAGTCGCTAAACTTGTATTTGATAAGGGGCAGGATATTCTCCTCGAAGAAATCGGACAATTGTCCCGTCACAGTTAGCGCAATGACTTCGTTGCGGAGTCGGTCCGTATCGGAAGCAAAGGGGCGGAACACGAGCTTGGCGGCGAATTTCGGGAACAAGTGTACAATGAGTTGCTTCACACGAGGGATTATCACGTCGCCAAATGGGACGTAAACAAATGCCGTGAGCAGAATGGGGAGATAGTTTGTAATGATGCTAAGAATGAAGAGCTTCTGCGTCAACGACATTTCATGTTCGTCTGCAGTCCTGTGATTTTCGTATTCGGTCAATGCAGTTGCAATGCCCTCGAGTGACGATGAGATTCGTGGAATGGCCACTGCTAGCAATATCGTAGGGACGTACTCCTGTACATAAATCGCGTCAGTCAAGCGTGTTTCCCCTTGTATGAGATGCTGCTTCATCTAAACAATGTCGTGCTTACCAAGTAAAATTGATGAGGGCCCTCGTACGTCTCACATATCAAAACCTCTACTACAAAGACGGAACAGATCATGAGTCCGAGAACAATGGTGGCCAGAATGATGAAGGGGATCTGAAGCAGCTGACGAGCAATCTGCTTCCACTTGGGAAAGTAGTGCTTGGTCCGACCATTCTCATCCACAATAATCTTGTCATACTTGAACGCCGGCCGGTTGATCTTGACCTTGTTGACGCCTCGTACCATCCAGCGCATACTGAGATCAATCTCTTGGATTTTCCAATACTCGAGGAAGACGGTGCACCATACGCCAGTCAAGATGGCATAGGCGAGAGAGTACTTGGGGAGAAACAGCCAAGTGAAAACACCAGTGATGGCGGGAAACGTCAGAAAGGTGAGGTAGGTCTGGATAAAGGCAAAATAAAACGCAATCTTGGACCCGTGTAAATCTCGAATCTTGTCAAAGTCTTCGGCCGTCAACATGATGGTTTTGCTCAGGTGGCGGAGTATAGACTGGTTCACGGGCTCGTTGTGCAGTGGGAAGATGGCCTTGACGTTTTCCCACTCGCCGACTTCTGGCGTGATGCCGGCACCGCCCAAATCCGTCGGCCAGAGAATGAGATGATATAGGGCGAGGACATCTTCGGCTTCGAACCAGGCCTTTACGACTGTGTGTTTGTCGCCGCCGGGATGGGATTGGGTGATGGCATATAGCCAGTCCTTGACTCTGATTTGTCATTGTGTTAGCAGTCGGTTCGTTTCGCTCATCTGTAGCGCAGGGCAAGTTCGGCGGCTAGCTACCGTTGTTTGTAGACTGTATTTCCCAACAGTTGAGACGGTGCCTTGACGAAGACAAGAATGGTCTGTTCGTAACCCGGGCGCACTTCGGTATGCAGCCCGGCGGCTTCCAAGTTATCAAGCAGGCAATTGAATTCCTTGGCAGCTGCATCGTAATCTATCAGACTCGGCATGTCAATATGATATTCTTTTTTTGTTCTACCAGCGCTTCCAACAGGTGCGAAAGCGGGCCGGCCGGGTCAGTCACACCTATGCCCCCAAAGTCATACAACACGACGTATTTATCGTTATACGTCTCCCCTTTTGTGGGCGTTGTTGGTCGAGATTCCCTTTTATATCCATGGAAAGTCTTAGATGGTATGCCGATATCACTGGGACTCGGTGGTGCCAGGTGAACGCTGCTGCTTGAAGTCTGGGTCGGAAGATCGACCTTTGGGGCGACATGGAGCATGATGCTGGCGTCTAGCGGCTGCTACCAGAGCGGCCGGGGTCCTGGGGAGCTGAAGAACAGGACACAAGGTGCAGGAAACAAAATGGGAGGATCAATGAGCGACAGACAGCTTGTTTGGCTTGACATGCTCTGGCCTCCATGCAACCCAATCGCACGTCCCAGCTACGAGGGGTGTAGAGGGAAGAAAAGCCGGATAGGGGGGAGACGGCATTTGAGATGACGCCAGGCGGTTCACATGCGCCAATGCACACCAAGCATCTCAGACATGGACAGGCAGTGAAAGAAATGGCTGGGAACAAAAAAACGACGAGGACGGATACAACGGCGAACGCACGGCTCTGAGCCTCAATGCAAGCCAAAAACTGAAAGCTAATCAGACCAGCGTCATTTATTCTCCATTTACCCACAAGCCTTCCCGCTGCGCCACACCACGCCACCATCGATCCATCGACAGATTCGTCAGCTGAGGCAGAGAATCTATCCAGATGATCATCACACACATGCTCGCCAGATCCTACATTCAGCCGCGAAAGAAGCTGTTGCAGGAAAACACAGGTTCGACCTCTATACGGCATAATGCATGAAACAAGCATCGACAACAAGAGCAGTTAATTACAGTGTGATGGAGAATAAAGATGCTAACATGTCATCAGCTGGGGAGCAGTTAGAGCCAAGAAAGCGAAGGATGCAAGCTGGTTTACGGGATTGGCGGACGGCGCACCAGATGGTTACCGAGGAAGGGCTTGAAGGCAACATCTTCCCACCGATGGTCAAGGCAAAGGACTTTTCACATTTGCGCAAACTGTGATACTTTTGGACCACTTCAAGCGAAATCACCTCAATCAGCTGTCTGATCAAAGATGTCCCGATATCCGACAGCGTGAACACCCCCACCAAACTGTTTGGGCCCGGTATCGCGTCTTGCGCCCCTCTACATCAAGGCAGACATTGCGCCTTCCACCTTTGTAGCGGTTATCAACATTACGCAAGCTGTTGGATGAACTGAAATAGAGGGGAGAGGCCGACGATCTCACCTCGCAAGTGCGACTTCACGAGCGGAGATGTCTTCGATACAGCCAGCAGCACTTCCCGTGGCACAAGGGGAATGGTAGACGGGCTATTTCTTCATGTCGATACCGTCATTGATGGTTTATTTGTTCTATCCAGGCCGTAGCAAGTGCCCCTCTCGTGAAAAAAACGGCTGCATGTGTCCCATTCGTGTCCATCTGCCAAGTGGCCGCATTCGTCCTCATTTTCGGCCAGTCTGTCTTTGACTAGGTGCGCATATCCCCTACCATTTGCTGTGTTCAAACTCTCCCTGTGTATACTTGGGTGATTTATGGTAAAATATATTTACATATCATAAAGTATATACTAACATATTATAATATCGACGTAAAAATGGGGGTTTCCTTAAAGGCGAGAGACCCCAGGAATCAGGAGACGTAATAACGCGGCATGTGAGGCGGGAAAAAAAGAAGACAAAGGGGGCGCAAAGATCAAGAAAGTAACACCATGGCTGGATTATCCTCATCGCAGAGACATATTATAATATACTATGGTATATAGCCTGATAGCCAGCCAGGTACCTGGTGGGGTGTGAGCGCATCCAGCAAAAAGCTTCATTTCCTTCGCCAATTTTGCCCTTTCACGTTTTTTCTTGTTTCTGCTACTTCCCCCTTTCTTCCCGATAAACTTATCCTTTTATGTCCCCTTTTTTACCAAATAAAATCCTCTTCTTCTTCTTCTTCTTCTTCTGGTGGCTGACTTGCAGATTTCGACTCTCCCTTCGTCGTTTTTCCTGTTGCTTTGCCCGCCGCTTCCCCCGCCGTTTTCCCTTTTCCTGGCGATGGTTTTGACGGCTTGGGCTTTTTGGGGGGCGGAGAAACTTTATCCTCATCTTGAGGGCGCTTTTTCTCTATCCCACCCTTTATCTTGTTAACGATTTTTAGAAGCTTGGCGAATTCTTTACTTAATTTGAGGTTTTCTTCGCCCAATTTCTTATTTTCTTCCTTCAATTGGTCAATTTCTTTGTCTCTGAGGGCGAAACTTTCTTTAATTCTTTTACCAAGGTTATCCGTTTTCGTTTTTATGTTGGCGTTTAGTTTACCGATCTCAGTTTCGGTATATTCTCTGGCGTTTTCCGCCGCCTCTTTCGACTCTTTAGCCTTCCCATTGATAAGATTAGTTTGCTTACAGAATTCTTGAGCAACCCTAATTTTCATTGAGGCGATTTCATCCTTGATGTTCTTAATCTCAGCGTTCGCGGCGGGGGATTCAGCCACCACGGCGATACCTCCCACTTTTTGATCGTTGGATAGCGTGACGAACCCCAGGTCATGGCGCCCGAGGGAATATAGGTCTCCAAAAAGTGTACCGTTGACTGATCCTAGTTTATCAAGATATCTAGTGGCGAGAACCTGCGCGCGACTAGGCAAAACTGTATCGGAATTTGCTGGATATGATTGTCCGCGAATCTCAACTCGACCGTTATTATGCCATCCTACCACGGCGTTCTTGGCCTTGTTTTTGATTCGTCGTATTAGGCCGATTTCTGCCTGGGATCGTGGTTTTCCTTGTTTGTGGCTGTGTTTGACTCTTGAGCGGTATTCGTTGATAATAACTAGAGCCACTTCTCGCCACAAAGGGTAGTAAGGATCCTCCCGAATCAGACTAATTCCTTCATCGTTGAGACGGCCTCCGGCTCGTGCAAACTCGCGTAAGCCGGTGTACAACGCGTCCTGGGCTGTCCAAGCCGCGGCCCTTTTGCTCCCCCTTCTATAATTTCCAAAGGGTTCAAGCGCCTCGGCGGTATCATCAGCCTTTTCAGTTGAAGTTTTCTTGCCAAAATACCGCCCTGGGGGGCCAAATCTGGCCACCAAACGTTTCACTTCCTTGATTTCTTCAAGTTGGCAGAGATCCTCAGGCGCCTCGAATTCCAGCTCTTGGGTGTTGTCGTTCTCATCTTCTTCTTCATCCAGTTCAGATCCGCTCTCCTGGAAGGGGGGATCTTCCCCTGTTTCAACGAGGTTCCTCATTGGTTTCCGATGTCTTCTACACGGTAACCAGATCTTGAATGGGCGAAAACCCCGAAATTTCCTTGATATAAGCGTATTTCAAAGACTTCCGCGATGTCATTTGTTTGATCGCCTCTGTCAATCTCGCAGCGCAAAGGGGTTGTGTGCGGCGCAGCGTTGGATTTGGGGAACAGGGCTTTTATGAAAGTTTCAAGTTTTCCGTTTGTAGCTGTTTTTGGGGGGGGAGCAGTGCTTTATTTTCGCGTTTGTAGCCAGGCTGAGCTCAAAGTCAGCGCAATGTGAGTTTGCGTTCAGAAAACCTTCACTACAGCCACGTACATGACAATTGCAAGCTCAGCTACAATTCATGGCAGAATATATTTGCTCACCAAGAAGTATACACCAAAATACCGTAATATATTACAACATAGGGCGCGATGGCCAGGCACTTAACATGGTTCAAGTCCTCTTGCGTCTCATTGTAGATATGCGCCATGTTATTTGAACAACTCTACATGCAAACAATCAAGGTAGAACCATGCAAGGTGAATCACCCAGTCATGGCAGTCACGTACATTGCAATTGTGAACTCAGCTAGGTCTATGCCATTTTATTCATTTAACTCATTAAAGTACAGTCCAGGTAAATCAACCCAGTTTTTGTATCCCTTGCTCATAACCGCGAATGCAAAGCGAAAAAATTAAAGCAAACTCTAAAAATCATCTCAAGACACCCCGTAGATCCTCCACATTTTTGGGCCAGTCTGATGAAAGCCATGGGTATCAAGGAATTTAGTCGACCTCCTCGACGGTCGGGCCGTCATCGCCACCAGCACCACCAGGGCCACCAGCGCCAGGGAAGCCGCCAGGACCGCCAGGACCGCCAGGCATACCGCCGGGCATACCGCCAGCCTGGCCACCAGCTCCGTAGAACTTCATCATGATGGGGTTGGCAATGGCCTCAATCTCCTTCTGCTTGGCCTCATACTCCTCGGCGCTGGCCTGCTCGTTCTGGTCAAGCCAAGAGCTAATGTCGGCAGCGGCGGCGAGCTTCTCTTTGTCGCCGGCGTCAAGCTTCTCATCAACGCCAGGCTCCTGAAGGGTGGTGCGCAGGTTGGAAGCGTAGTGATCAAGGGCATTTCGGGCGCCGACACGGCGACCCTCGGCCTCATCAGCTTCCTTATACTTCTCGGCATCAGCCAGCATGCGCTCAATCTCCTCCTTGGACAGGCGGCCCTTGTCGTTGGTGATGACAATCTTGTTGGACTTGCCGGTGCCCTTCTCAACAGCGGAAACGTTCATGATACCATTGGCATCGAGATCAAAGGTGACCTCAATCTGGGGAACACCACGGGGAGCGGGAGGAATACCAGTGAGCTCAAACTTGCCGAGCAGGTTGTTGTCCTTGGTGCGCTGACGTTCACCTTCAAAGACTTGGATAAGAACACCAGGCTGGTTGTCGGAGAAAGTAGAGAAAACCTCGGACTTCTTGGTGGGAATGGTGGTGTTTCGGGGGATAAGCTTGGTCATCATGCCACCAGCGGTCTCAATACCAAGAGAGAGAGGGGCGACATCGAGCAGCAGAATGCTGCTGGTGGTCTGAGAGTTGTAGCCAGACAGGATAGCGGCCTGGACGGCAGCACCGTAGGCGACAGCCTCATCGGGATTGATGGACTTGCTGGGCTGCTTGCCGTTGAAGTACTCAGTGATGAGCTTCTGGATACGGGGGATACGGGTAGAGCCACCGACGAGGACAATCTCGTCAACCTGGTTCTTGTCGATCTTGGCATCCGAGATGACGCGGTCGAGAGGCTGCATGGTAGAACGGAAGAGATCCTGGCAAAGCTCTTCGAAACGAGCTCGGGTGATGGAGGTGTAGAAGTCGATGTTCTCCATCAGAGAGTCGATCTCAATAGAGGTCTGGGAAGCCGAAGACAGGGCACGCTTGGCACGCTCACAGGCGCTTCGAAGACGGCGCAGAGCACGTGAGTTGGTGGTGAGATCTGTTATCAAGTTAGCTCCATGTTCATCTTGACTGTACTGAGATATACTCGAGCATATTCGAATACATCCAAATGTACTCAAAAATGCTCAATTATATTGGAAAAGAGCGCTCTTACCCTTCTTGTGCTTGCGTTTGAACTCATTTACAAAGTGGTTCACCAATCGGTTGTCAAAGTCCTCACCACCCAAGTGAGTGTCACCAGCGGTGGACTTGACTTCAAAGACACCTCCGGCAACGGCGAGGAGGGAGACATCGAAAGTACCACCACCAAGATCGAAGATGAGGATATTGCGCTCGGGGATATCATCCTTGTCCTTGTCCTCAGGGCGAATCTTGTCGAAGCCATAGGCAATGGCGGCGGCAGTGGGTTCGTTGATGATTCGCAGGACGTTCAGGCCGGCGATGAGACCAGCGTCCTTGGTGGCCTGACGCTGAGAGTCGTTGAAGTAGGCAGGGACAGTGATGACGGCATTGTTGACAGTCTCGCCAATAAAAGCCTCTGCGGTCTCACGCATCTTCATGAGAATCATAGATGAGATTTCCTCAGGTGTGAAGGTCTTGGTCTCGCCCATGTATTGGACCTCGACAGCGGGCTTGCCGGACTTATCGATGACCTTGAAGGGGAAGTGCTTCATGTCGGCCTGGACATCGGCATCGGAGAACTTTCGGCCAATCAATCGCTTGGCGTCAAAGACTGTGTTCTCAGGGTTCTTGGTGACCTGGTTCTTGGCGGCATCTCCGATCAGACGCTCGGTGTCGTTGAAGGCGACGTATGAAGGGGTCGTTCGGTTACCCTGGTCGTTGGCGATAATTTCACATTTCTCCTGGTCGAAGACACCAACGCACGAGTACGTGGTGCCCAGATCGATACCAACAGCAGTGACCTTGCCGCTCATTGTGGTGGTTGTGATGCGAGTGCGGGGGAGAACAAATCGGGTATCTTGGTGTGTGTTGAAGACCCAATTCAAATCAGTGAGTTTGATTGGATTGACAAAGGCGGTAGAGTGAAGAGAGGATGTAGAGAGGGATGTAGAGAGGATGAAGAATGGAATGAGAATGAGGATGAGAAAGATGAGAGCAAAATGTGAGAGGTAGATAAATAAACCAAAGTGGGATGCTTCGATGAGCTTCCACTCTGTTCCAAGGCTTTCGCGGGAGCCCACTCGAACCTTGCAGGGGGTGCCAGAATGCCGCAGCACCTTCGCGCGCAATCGTGCGCTTTGTGCCCAATCACGTCGGGCCACAGTGGGGGGAGGGGCAGCTGTTGGTTGCGTCTAGCGCTTTCTAGCCTGCTCCAGTGCTGGAAACAGAAAAAAAAAATTGTGTTGAGCTTGACAACGGGTGGGGCTGGCAGAGATGGATGTACAAGGCACCTAGCTGCGTCACAGGGTGTGTGAGAGGGGAAAAGTTGCGTCTACCTGCGCCGCTGCCCCGCATCGAGTTGATGGAATTTTCGGGAGGGAGCTTTGGATGACATCAAGTGGCGGTCAAATTTGGAGTCGACAAAGAATCTCAAACGCGCTGCTTTTGTGAGCACCAACAAGGCCGAGAGCACAGCCTGGTTGAAAGAGCCTGCAGTGCACACGCCAATCGTTTGCAAGTGAACAGCCCCCTCGGTCGCAGGCACCAGGCTCCAGCATGTTCCGTGAGACTCGATCGCGAAACACTACGGCGAAAACCCGCACCAGAGAAATGCCTCCAAATCTCATGGCCTGGTCAAGGTCATGTTGAGTACAGTCGAACGCAGAGTCCGGCAGCTTTACTATTTGCCTGTGCAGTACTCTCAAGTGGCATGCGGTAGGAGCCAAAAAATACTGTACCAAAGCAGATACTAGACAATCCGAGATTCTGCAGTATGTCATGTATCCTCGATGCTAGGCAAATGTAGGTAGGCAGTCCGGTATGCTAATACTTAATGGAAGCTTCAGAGACCTGCTACGGAACTGGCGGATGGTGCGACACGGCCCAAAGTCAATCCATCCAACTACACCTCTACTGCCCAATATCGGTGGACCAACAAAGTTCACAATCTTGACTTGGAGCTCAAAACCTGACGAGGCAACAGGTGGAACCCGTGGGGCGATTGGGCAGCCTCCATTTTGCAAACCACCAGACGAATTCTGTCAGCTCCAGTCCGTCGCAAAATATTTTTGGCCACCGAGAAGGACACCCTAATATAACGGCATGTCCTCAATCAGACAGAGCGCGGTAGCCTGGTACCTGATCTGGTCAAATACTGTTCACCTCCCGCTGTAAACCATCGCGCAGCTAGTCAATGCCGTCTCTTTCCATGGGCCTTTTGCGGCACATGCAGCTTCAATTTATGAGACTTCCAATTCAATCCGGCCTCGGTTGGATAGCTGCTGCGGACCTTTCGGCAGGCTCATTCAGCTCGGCGTATCTCGTCAGTTCCGTCTGGTCGATCTAATCGCCTGGCTTGTCAAAGCAATATCCCGAAATTAGCTGCCTCTCAATTTGCGCCGCCGGCGTCTGTTACGTCCCCGAATTGGTCAAGGGGCCATGTGAGAGAGCTAATCGCAGCCAGCATGCTGGATTGACCCTTTTTATACAAATCTTCCTAGCTCTGATAGTATCAACAAGAAGCACCTCATCCTGTCTTGAAAAAATGTATTCAAGTAGATTTTGTTATCAACTGTTTGACCATTACATTGAAACAATTACACCATCTCCCTTCCAGGTCGTCCCTTTGGGTCGTCTCTACTGTGCGAGCTCTCCAAACGAATAGCTACTTCCTCCGCTTGGGCGGTCCTCCCTCTGATCAAAGTCCACAAGTATGGTTCTGTAAAAACTATGTTTGTATTGGCTTCATCGTCATCGACTGCTGACTGGTTTCCCAGTTTTACATTCCCGAGGAAGAAGCAGCAGATAAAGGACTAAACCCGCTTGTTAGATTGTCATGACAAACGGGAAGAGAGTCATACTAACCACAACCATAAAGGGAACAATGGCAACGTATGCCCACACAACCCCCATCTACAAGCCATATTCAGCACCAG